ACAAACTACCATTGGAAAAATCTGAATGTTTTACCTTCTAATTCTTTTAAAGTTATCTATCCAAGCATTCCGAAGTCCATACTTCAATGATTCTGTGCACTGTAGCTTTGGAAGTACAGGTCTACACAGCATGGCTAGAACCGAAATAAGCCTCGCAACTTCAGCAATGTCAATTGTGTAGCTTAAATCGAACTAGCTTATTTCAGTTTTTGGCACTGTCTACATAACAGGAAATCTGAGTAAGAGCATTCTTCCTCCTACTTCCCTTACTCATAAAATGGAAGTTACAGGAGTTGGAATAAGAAGTCCTCCAGCTTGACACTATTTCAACATTATATCGAAGTAGCTCCTTGCTGTGTAGACACGGACTATGTTATTTCAGAATAAAGTTATTTCAGAATAACGTTACTGCTGTACAGATGAACCCCCCCTCCCCCAAAAAAAGACATCCCAATGTATCCAAGAAATAATCTCATTTGTTAAGAGTGTTGTAAATTGTAATGATGCAGACATATATATGGCCCAATTTTCAAAAGAACTCAGCACCCACAACTAGTGCCCCATTTAAAAAAAAAAGAAAAAAGAAAAGTTGGTCCTGAGCACTTTTGAACATCTGACCATAAATGTCACAAAGGAATGTGATAGAAATTTTGGCCCCTGGTATAAGTGCTGCATGCTTGAAAATCTGATTTTGCGTTCCTTTGAAATCTGGTTCATAGCATTTTCATACTTCCTTTTATAGCTTTATTAAAAGGAAAGGAAAGAGCGAAAGGCCAAGCTTCCAGAGTGACTCTTGTCTGAGATAAGTTAGGAGTTAACAGCCTTGCTTCTTAATTGTATACTCTTACATTTCAAACTTAAATCCAATTTATTATAAAGGTTCTTGTGGAAAGATGAACTGACATGGATTTATCTAGGAATGTTTGTAAGTCTCAGAGTGGTAGCCATGTTTGTCTGTAACTAAAAAAACTTAAAAAAACCCCAATAGTCCTGTAGCACCTTAAAGACTAACCAAAAAATATAGATAGTATCATGAGCTTTCATTGGCACAACCCACTTCTTCAGATGATATCTGAAGAATGACATCTGAAGAAATGGGTTGTGCCCATGAAAGCTCATGATACTATCTATATATATATTGGTTAATCTCTAAGGTGCTATAGGACCATTGTTGTTTTTTAAGAATTATTTTTAGGAATGTATGCGTTTAACATATTTGGTGGGGAGAAAAAGTAAATTATTTTTGAAATAATGAATCAGAATGCAGGCCCATGCATGGTGGGTGCCTGCGTGCATGCGGGTGCGTGCGGGTGCGTGCGTGTGCACGCACATGCACGTGCACGTACATGCGTGCAAAGCGTGTGAATATATCCCCCGCAATGGGACCAATTCTGGACAGGCTGGGGTGAAGAAGGCTTGGGCAGAGCATTGCCCCAGCCTCCCTCCCCCATGCTCCATCTGGCCTAAGGAAGGCTGTGTCTGATTCTTCATGGCTCCATCTGCAGCCCCCAGTGAGCTCCCAGACACAGATCCCTAGCAACCCTCAGCATCTCTAGCCAGACTCAAGTTGCAGCTGCCCCCTCTTCCAGCTACCAACCACAATGGTCAACCAGAGCTGATAGAGAAAGACATCTGCTACAAATGCCTGGCCAGCATCCCTAGGAGATATAATCCCATCCTCATCCCTCCACACTGCATAACACAGGGAGGGAAATGGAGGAGACAAAAAAGGACTATAGTTCCCAGCATGCCATGCGGTTCTCCTGCAGCATGTACAAGAAGCCACCTTTGTGGGTGGAACAGACCTGTACAAAGTAGCAGGGAGTCTCAGGCAGATTCCTTGCCTGCCCCCACTCCCACACTGCTAAGAAAAACAGGTGCAGGGCTTTGTTTGAATAGCTGTGAGCCTTCACATCAAAAAATTCAATTGGCTGGTTTCTGGTGAATGGAACTTCCTCGATATATAGGAGTTGCTACAGGAGGGGCTACTGCTGCTCTAGCCGGTGTTGTTGCTCACCCACAGCTTGGTACTGACACAGCCTCTGCCTATCCACACCCACTTCCAAGGAGTGATTCCCCCCTAGAGTCCCTGGACCAGAGGGTTGGAAAACACTGCCCTAGTTCCATTCTTGTCTGACAATGTGTGGACCACCACATTTCCACCTGTGCTTCTGATGCTATAATAACTTGCCAGTTATTTCTGCTCATTTCTTCCCATTTCCAAACTAACTTTCTATCAGTGCTCATTGGCCTATTCCCTATGTCCAGATCCTGGTTGAAGTAGGAAAGAAGAGAGAACTGGTGAGGCTCCCCCTCAGTTAAGAACATAAGAGCATATGAATGGCCATGCTGGGTCAAACCAAAGGTCCATCTAGCAAAGTACAGGCAGTCCCTGGGTTACGTACAAGATAGGGACTGTAGGTTTGTTCTTAAGTTGAATCTGTATGTAAGTCGGAACTGGCGTCCAGATTCAGCCGCTGCTGAAACTGACCAGCGGCTGACTACAGGAAGCCCGAGGCAGAG